GTATCATAACCCACAGTGTTAATTCATGCCAACAAAAATAACAGCATGAAGAATTTACAATTTTACAAAGCTGCGATAAAGTGTTTTAGGTAACATCTGTTCAGCAATCATTTCTTTAAAAGAGTAATTTAGATTCAAGGTCTTACACTGCAGCATAACTGCAGCAATAATTCAGTCACTTTGTAATTAAAGATATTGACACAGATTGGTCTTACCTTTCTACTCTATGCCAGAGAAATGGAAGTGCTTTTCCTCTTAACTACATCTTTCTTTGATTTATAGACACTGTTAAAAGCAACTGTTAATTTGTCTATTTTTAACAGATTGGTGTAAACAAACCCTTCTTGACTCATAAATTTCATAAAGAACTTAATCAAAAACATAACCTGAAAGGCACTGAAGTCAGCTCAACACTAGACTGAAATTAATAGAAACACCTCTAATTTGAGCTAAAAATTGAAGTTGATCTCTTGAGGACCACTGTCTACAATACGTAGTATTTGTAAAGTGCAGTTGGAAGTCGCATAATACAGCACGCACTGTAATGTTTTTCAAACATTACTAAGGTGGGGGAGCAGGGCGAAAATCAAGGAGAGCAAGTGGCAAACAACTGCTTTTTGCCCCACCTTGCCCTAGCAGATTTCATTAGTTTCTTGCTCAATCAATGTATACATAGACAACAGGTGAAATATCTGCCATCCTTCTGTAGATTTCCTCTTTTCACAAGATCCTAAACCACAAGGGGTTTAGGGATGAGCTTTCAATAAGCTGAAGTATACCACAGTACCACAGAAATTCTTTTAGCCTTTTAGAAGTCCCACTCCTCTAAAAACTTGGACCTGTTGAAAAAAGTCATGCTGGTATGTGCCTCAAAATGAACCATCGCTCTTCCAAAAAAAGTATCTAAAATTATTCTGCAAAAGAACGAAGACAACTGAGACTTGAAACTCATTCACTTCTTTTGAGAAGTTTATTCAAAAAGAGCCCATCAAGGCCTGATTTGACAGGGCTAAACAGTTATAGTGGCTGATTCCAATGCCTCTTTCTCCCCCCTCCACCCCTCATATGCAGTGGGTTTTTAAAAACTGTATTTTCCCCACTTAAAAAAAGAATTTTCTTTAGAAGGGAGAATAAAGACAAGATGCATGTTAATGATGTCACCTTTGTCAATAAGCAATCCAATTTACCTCAAGGTTTGTCAGGGAATCAAATTATTTTCCAGATTAGCATATCTGCTATGACAGATCAATATGTTGCATTGACTGGAAGGGCCCAACCTGGAACTTATTTTCAAGCCTTGAAAACTGAGAAATATTACATTCACATAATCTGTATTACTTGAGGTCAATAAATCTAACAGCTACTTTAATCTGACAAATGTACACAGATAGAAATAAAACTGAGGTAACGTGAGGTATGGCACTCTAAATACCCCAGACAGAGAAAAGGGCATAAGCTAAATCTAAAACTCGATTACAGAGAGCCCAAAGGCATGAGAGCCAGGCTTTACACATTTGGACACAAAACTAATTTAACTACTAAAATTATATTGAAGATGTATTACAGAAAGAGTTAGATGAAAAGAAGTCAAGTTGGAAAATACCTCTAAGATCATCAAGTCCCAGCCATAAACCAAACACTGCCAAGTCCATCACTAAACCAGATCCTAAAGTGCCACATCTATGCAACACCTTATGAGATGGTGACTCAACCGCTTCCCTGGGCAGCCTCTTCCAGTGCCTGACCACCCTTTCAGTGAAGAAAGTTTACTTAATACCCAATCTAAACCTACTCTGGTGCAACTTGAGGCCCTTTCCTCTTGTTCTGTCACTTGTTATTAAGGAGAGGACACTGACCTCCACCTCACTACAGACTCCTTCCAGGCAGTTGTAGAGAGCAATAAGGTCAGCCAGTGAGTTTATGGCACACCTAGAATACATTCCATGTTCAATCCATACTTCTGCAGTCCCTATCAGCATCCAAGGATAAAATCTTTGCTTTCAGACATTATTTAAAGATGAAAATAGGACTATCATTAGAACTATGGTGCTTTTGAAAATTGCAGCTTGGCAAAGCATTCTCATGAATTAAGGGCATTCTCATCTATCCCTGCTTAAAAAAAAACTGGGCAGGGGAACAGGAAGAGGCAAAAAAAAATTATCAAAATTCACACCTACCTACAAGATTATTATATACCCTATAAACCTGAGTCAGAACCCCAAATTCAACCTCCTTTATTTTCTGTAGCTGTGACCTCAACACCATGACCTTAAAAAAACAGTCAGCTGATACCTATATTGAAACATTATCAAAATCACCCTTGCATAGACTGGAAGTCCTAGACATATACCCAACAAACTCACCTGCACCAGAGAAAAGGCCTGCTTTCACTGAAAAGACGAGATTTCATCTAAGAAAAAGTCTCAGTGGCTTTTATCACATATTTATCCACGTTCTTCTCCCTATAAACAATTGCACTGCCATTTTAACACATGATTAGCAAAACTGAATGTGATGGCAACACACTACTTCTGTTTTAGCACATAATTATAGGAAAACATGAAAACCATTGTGATAACTGCATAAGAACTTGGCAGTTAAAGTACTGGTAGTAAGTGAAACCTCTTGACCCAGAGCTCTTGTCAGTCAAACACACAAAAATCCATGACTCTCACAAAAGGAATAATCCAACCCTCAGCTCATACAGCAACAACACCATCCAATCTTTTACAGTGGCCAGACCACATGGCTTTCTCCTCACAGATCATATACTAAAGCATATTTTGAGAGACTAGGAAGATCTGGTGTCACAAGACATTCTGGGGTACGTGTGTGTGGGGCAAGGGGCTGCTTGGGCCTTGCCTTGGTGAGGGGATGCCCTGCTCTGCACACACACCCCCACTCCTGGGGTATCCCAGCCCCACAGCGGCTGCCAATCCCCGGCCCAGAGGAGGCAATGCTCCACACCCGGCCTCTGGAGCCCCTCACCCAGCTCCTGAGCGGCCAAACAAACAGAAGTCCCACCTGGCGGAGGGGCCCCAGAAGGCCAAGGGGTATTTAAAGCTGAACACAAGGCAAGCACATGTCTTCACCCTATCTCCTCTTGGAACTTCTGCCAGCTGAGCACTGCTGGAACCCAGCAGCTGGTAGCTATACATGTCCTTTTTTATATCTTTTTTTGTCTTCCCCTCCTTTTTCTTCTAATTCCCACTTCTTAGAATTTCTGAGTAATTTAAAAGGGCTTGAAGTCTGCCAAGTCAAATGGGCTAAGTTAATGCTTAGAGATGAATTTTCTGTTGATTGAATGTTGCACTAAACCTTTTGCCAAAGATCTTTGATTGTCTTGAGTCTAAAGTCTTTTTTGGTGTTTTGACCTCTTGAGAATATCTTGCTACTATTTCTCCTGTACATCTAACTCAGAATACAGGAACAATCATGAGCCCTTTTGAAAGCCTCATCAAGCGAGGGGCCATGTTACCTGCTTGACTAAAACACACGTGTCCCCAGTGGATAGATACACAGCCACATACGAAGCCAAGCAAATACCTCTTGGTCAGTTTCATTTACGCCCATATAGCTCTTGGTCTGTTTCATTTATGCCCATACTCACATGCAGAAAAAGGCACAGGGGCATGGTTCAAACAGCAGTCTCTGCAGCCACAGGACAAAAAGATTGCAGCAAACAGGAATATTCCAGGAGCGCGCTGTGACCCTCCAGAACAGGTCTGGCCAGCCTGTTTGATACCATTTATTGGCTAACTTTTTTGAACCTGTACACAAGTGCCAGGCACTCAAGTACTGAACATTTCATAAATACACCTTAGAATCAAGAGTCTAATATAAACGTTATGGTATCTCTTTTGTAATTATGTAACAAATACAGTTTAGAGCAGGTGGGATCAGGGACTGCTGAACAAAGATCAACATGCATCACCTAAATATGAGCACAGAGTGCATTTCCTCTGCATGCAGCAGATACTCTCTGAAAGGAGGTTGTATCCAGGTGGGTTCAGCCCCTTCTCCCTGGCAACCAGCGACAGGATAAGAGGACACAGTCTCAAAGTACACCACAGGATGCTTAGGCTGGACATAATGAGGAATTTCTTCACAGAAAGGGTGATGAGACACTGGAATGGGCTGCCCTGGGAGGTGGTGGAGTCACCATCCCTGAAAGTGTTTAAGGAAAGACTCAACACAGCACTTGGGGCCACGGTCAAGTTGACAGGGTGTTGGTCAGTTACAGATTAGATTTGATGATTTCAGAGGTGTTTTCCAACCCAATTGATTGCGTGGATACAAGGCCTGTAGAATATACGTTGGTCCCAACTCTAATGCTTGGAATTTTCATCATGTCCAAACAAAAACTGGTTATTTCTGGGTACGCTTTGGTTAGACCACATCTTGCAGACACATGATCTCGTGACAAGCCACCTTGAGTTTCCCAGTTTCTTGGTGTGCTAGCCAAAAGCTTGTAAAAGCAGGCCTACGGAAGAGAACTTCACTAAGTCCTTTAAATTCAAAGACAGCTTTTACACTGCAGAGTTTATATCACTCAAGTTAAGAAAAAAAAAAAAACCAACACAAAAAACCCACCAAAGAACCACAACAAATCAAACTCCACAGCCCTATTAGAAGTAACACCGTTTAAGAGCTGGAAGTCTGTCCTATTCCCCTCGCAACCAGGGCTATCACGCAGCAAGCAAAGGCAATGAACCTTTGTGATGAAGCTCTCGGGAGAGAGCTGAAAACTTCCTGCACCCTTTTAGAGGGGCGAGCAAGATGCGAGCTGGACTAGGCGGGATCAGCCTTGGAAGCCCAGCTGAACTTGACTGTGCCACGTACTCCCACTCAGTGCCCGGTGTCGGCGGGCCCCGGGCAGTGACTGGCCCCGGAGGGACGGACACGGGGGTGTCACCACCCGCCCGGCCGGGCCCCCCCTGCACAGGCCCGCCAGGCCCCACTCCCCGGGCACCCCCGCCGCGGCACCGGCTCGTACTTACGAATTTGGGCTTCCTGCTGTCCGCCGCCTCCTCGGGACCCCCGGCGCTCCCGGTGCCCGGCGGGCCCTTCCGGGGACGGAGCCCCTTGTTCTCCCGCCCGCCGCGACTCGGCGGCGGGGACGGGGCGCAGTAACGCGGCCGCGGCGGCTCCATGGCCGCGCACGAGCGAGGAAGGGACACGGGCAGGGGGGAGCGCCGTCCGCGATCGGGCCCAGGCCCGGCGGCCCCGGCCGAGCTGGGCGCCCGCGATTAGCGCGGCTTAGCTGGGCTCGGCCAGCAGGGAGCCGCGGGGGGAGGAGCGGGGCTGAGCGCTAAAGCCGCGGCCTCAGCGCAGCGCAGGATTTAGCCGGGAGAAGCTCTAATCCCGCCACGCCCGCGCCGCGCGCTCCCAACGGCCGCGGCTGGCGGAGCGCGGCAACGTCCGCGCCGTCCGAACCGTCCCGCCACCGCGGGCCCCGCCCCCGCCAGCCCACTCCGGCCAATCCGCGCCCGCGGCGGCGCCTCCCGGTTGGCGGGAGCTGCGCCCGTGCGCGGTGAGTCAGCCGCTCGCGCCGGGCCCCGCCGGGCACCGCGCGTGCTCCCGCCGGGAATGGGAGCGGCCCGCGGGGTGCGGTAACGGCGCCTCCGGGGTGCGCGCACGGACACACGGAGGAGGGGAGAGCTTGTGTCCTCATCGTGCAAATCCTGTCTTCTCTGCAGCCTGGATGCTCGGGATCTGATCACGGGGCCGGTCCCTCAACTCTTTGGCCTAGGATGCTGATTACCACAAGTGGCTTTGTTAAAAACTCCGATTCCTTACCTCAAGCCGCTGTTTAACAGGTGAAAAGTGGTTCATCTATTTCTATATAACCTTTTTATATAATTAGAACACTGGCTTTTATATGTAAATATACATTATTATACAGAATCGTAGAATCATCGTGTTTGGAAGAGACCTTTACAATCATCCAGTCCAAAAATCCAAACCACCTCTTAAAACACCCCCAGGGACGGGGACTCCATCACCTCCCCAAGCAACCTATTCCTACACTTGCCCTTCTGAACAGTGAAAATAATTTTCTAATACCTGATCTGTGTTGTCATCATATTGCAAAAGTCCGATACCTTCTTGGTGGTTTCTCATGGTCATCTCCTTGCAGCACTGACTCCTTCTTCTTCACAGTACAGCCAACGAACCCCCAGCTCCCTTCACAGCACAACCAACAAACTCCAACAACTACTCACCCACCTAACCCACTCTTTTGTAGCACTGGTCTTCTTATTGGACACAGCTGTGGCCTATTAAGGGCAGGCCTGTTCCTAATCTTTGGTGATTAGTGCAGCTGCAACTCCTCAAGGGTGAGATTGCCTTCTGCACTATTCTCCTACATTCCATCCCTCCACAGATCTCAATCTCCCCTGTCTCAGTTTTAGGCCTTTTCCTCTGGTCTTGTCACTGCAGTCACAATAGAGACTGGCCCCCACTTGCATGAGAACCTCTTCTCTGGTAGCTGTAGAGAGCAATACATACAGAGATATACATACATACCTATATATATTATATATTATTAATGCTTCTCATTTTACTTTTATACCAGCCTGGAGGTATTGGGTTAAGAAGGCAGAATGACACAGAAGAGACACAGTCCCTATCCAAAGCAGTGGCAGTGTTTCCATCATCCTCCTGCGTCTGAGTTTCTGTTTTGTGATGGACACAGTCTGTGTGGAGGAGCTGCTAACTGTTCTGCCAAGGCCAAAAGAACAGGTGTACCTACAGTCTGCATTTGTTTAATGCAATCTGTTGTTTTCCATCACTGAAAGACCTGCAAGACACTGGTTTACGGGGAAATACATAAATAGAGATTTCATTATGCTGTAAACTAGCAAATTGCATATGGTTTACAAGGCAATTGAATTCTCATTACTACAATCAATACCTTGCATTTATCTTTATTTTAAATTAAAAGTAGTTAGAATAATGATGCAAACTGGAGACTTATGTAGGAGAAAATCTATTTCCAAATCTCAGTGTTAGGGATCATTAAGAAAATGCTAATACTCAGCATTTGTACCGCTAGAGTACTTCCTAAACAGAAGAATTTCTTTTCCGTCATTCAGTCCTTCACCATGACTTACACAGGCAGTGACCTACAAAATGTAACATCTGCCAGTACACAGAGTTCTGGTGAAACACAGCAGAATTCAGCTCCAGACTCTGCCTTTGCAGGGCAAGGAGCTGTGGGGCCACGCAGAGTAGATGCCGTAATTATTTGTATAAGTTAAACTGTTTCATCCTTTGGCACCTTTCTATAGATGTTTTGTAAATTTATATTGGAATTCTTTGTGGAGAGTATAATTAGCAGAACAGTGTTTAATGTCATGGTTAATGATTTCCTGGAACATTTGATTAGAAAATTAATCAAGCTATGTGTGCATATGATAAAGCTGTTTAAATGGACCTCCTAATTGCACTGTGGTAGAACACAATGGCTTGTGCCAATAAATCACTTTCAAGGTACTGTGTTGCAATAACAGAGAAACACTGAAGGGAATAATTTATCAGACGGTTTTACTAAGCCAAAAGTAAATGTTAGTACTTTTGATCTATTATTATTATTATTTTATACTGCCCCTCTTGTGCTCATTAGGTGTTTCACAGAACAAATACACTGTTGCAACAGCTCAGTTTACTAAGATTAATCATGACTGAGGAAAAAATTCTGAGAAAGAAATGCATCACTAATACTAAAATTGTGCAGAGATTCTATGTAGTCATACCATGCAGATTGTCCAGGGCATGCAAATAGCTTGGCTATTTTGCATTATTTTTGTTCTGGAATGAGAATTTTTCAAATATGAAAGTCCGAGACAAAGTAAGCGCATAAAGTTAACCATGCACATTTGCAGAAGTGGTCCTTTAGACTGATGGATTCATTTAGGCTTTTAGCATTCTGTTCCATCTCTTTTATTTTTTTTTAATATACTGTGACTCATGACTTAAAAAAAAAAAAAAAAGAAAAGAATACTCTCCTAATATTCATTGTTCTAGAGAGGCAGTTTTCCAAATATATTGCTGTACAAAGTATTTCAAAGGCAGCCTTTCCTGTGTTTAGGCAGTTGTCCACATTTCATTTGGAGACACCTAGTTCTTTCCCATAAGAAGAAGATAAAACAGTCAATTAACTGTTCTTTTGTGAGATTCATCCTTTTGACCTGTCGCATAAAAGTTATGAAGGATTTTTTCAGCAGTGTTATTCTTCTTTTTACAAAGCAAGCAACAAGTTGTTTTCACAAGCAAGCAACTTGTTTTTACTAGTTTATTACTACTCTAATAAAGTATGCTAACAAGGAAAGCATTCCTAGCCACAGCTCCTGTGGCTTGGCAGAGACAAGCAAATGGCAAACGTCTTTTCAGGAAAATGTCTTCTTTCTCCCATGGAAAGCCCCAAACAGGCAATTCTTGCCCAAATCTCTCAAACTTGCATAGTTATTTGTAAGTTGTACCAGTTGAATATGTATCTTATACCTTTCCTGCCATCTTATTCAAGAAGTTAATACTGGACTTACAAAAACATATGTGATTGTTAACTCACAAGGCCAATAAAAATTACATTAGAAAAACATGGCCCGTCCTCATGTCTTATAGAGGCAATTGATTTTTGTTTTATCTAAGAAAGTCTTTAACAGTTGTATTTTTATATTGAAACAACACTCATTAGTATTTTAAATTTATTGCAATGTAATATCCTTAAATGTAACCCGTGGATAAGATCTTACTTAATTTTCACAGCATGGGTGGCTCGCAAAACATATTATTTCATTATTAGGATAATGGGAAGATAAAATCTCAAATTGTTCATCTAGTCTAGCCTATTAAGTTTACTGAGGAACATGGCTGTAAGTTTATCATACTAATAAATTAACAAATTTATGGTACAGCTATGAGAAAATTCATACTCTGTTCAAATAATAAAGTTTTATTGACAAAAATTTGGTTTTAGTTTTATTTCCTGTAAAACAAACAATTATTTTGGCTTTTTTGCACATAATTTGATTCTTCTTTAGCCAGTGTCACTGCCCCTGTAGTAGTATGTGTCATCTTTACATTCTGTTTCTAGCATAGACTGGGAAAAATTAAAATCCATAGCTAAACCTATCCTTGAAGATCATGATAATCAGAAAAAGGAAAGAACTGAAAATTTGCCAACTAATATAACACTAACCTTAAGTTCTTACAAGAGAAAAATGTATTAGGCATTTTCTGATATATGATTATGGTTATGATCTTAGTTGTAAAAGCTTACAGAATTGTAAATCTACTAAAATGTGACAAAAAGGTTTTGGTTTTAATCGTTCTTCATAAAGGATTGAATTTTTCTTTTGCTTAAGCTCATGATCAGGATAACTTATGTTTGTTATGAATCTATTTGAAGAGATTCTGAGAACTGAGTTCAGGCTAAAAGCTTGTAGTGCGTAACACAGAATGTTATCATATTCCATATCTGTCTCTGCCCCAAACTTGTTACTGTCTTTCTCAGACCCAGCACGGCAAGATCTGGCATTTTAGGGCAGCTGGGAGGTGCCGGTCCCCGGGTGCCTTTACAAAGCTGGGGCACCTGAGCCAGCCTGCGCTTGCGCCTGGCAGTGCTGCTGCAGGTGCAGGCTCTGCTTCAGAGGGCTTGTTTTGGGCAGTTGGCTTTTTGCCTGCTGGGCATTTTGTTTGTTTTTCTGGGCTTGAAACAGTATCCACTCAAAAAAATTGCATTTCGCCACCACAAGCAGCTTCGCAGTGAGTTTCGCCCAGCGAGCGGGTTCCCGGGCTGGGGCGGCCGGCGCTGGTGCCCGCAGAGCGCTCCGCTCCAGCCCCAGCCGAGCCCTGGGCAGCAGGAGGAGCCGCCCGAGCTGACCCAGCCAGCCAGCGCCTCTCACCGGCCACTAGAGCTCCTGCACCAGCTCCTGCCTCACTGGGAGAGATCTGGCCACCCCCTTGTCCCTTTGTTTCCCAGACCACACCGTCACCCGTGGCCGGCTGTCCGAGACTGGAAAAGCCGTCTGTTTCAGGGCATCTCGGGAAGCTCGGAATGTGTGGTAGGGCGTGGGTCAAAGCTGGCTCTGGTGAGGGGTGCTGTGCCCCCGATACCCCCCAGCCCCTCAGTGTCTGTCAGCCAGAGCAG